TATTGCAACTAAAAAAGAGGCTTGTGAGAACCTTGGAGAAATACGTGCCTTGGGATAAAGAAAAATTGAAGAGAAATAAAATTCTGTTATAAAGAGTTGGTCAAATTAAAGATTAAGACTGTTAAAAGTAAAAGGAAGCAATGTAAATTTGGTCTATTTAAAATAAGATTTTTTTTCAAAGTTCTGGCAGTCTTTTATGCACTCTATGCTGACCCCAGGATCAAAAAGTTGATGTTTTATGAATTTGTTTATAGATTAGTGATGAAGAGATGAAGTGATATCTATATGTATGTAACTTTATGAGGGAGGAGTTATTGTTTATACTTCTTGTGATAAAGGTTGGAAGTCAATACTTTATTTTTTATTATATAATTACTTTTCTTTTTCTTGTTTCCTGCACTTTCATTTTTTTATCCTTTTCTCTTTGTATAGTTTGTGTTAGTTTTTACTATTATAACTAAAATTACAATAATTAAAATTCTTCATAAAAAGTTTCTTAATCAAAAAATCAAATGATGACAATAAATAATGAGTTCAGTTACAATCTGATGAGAACAAGATACTTATACCAAGTATTAGGTTTAAGAACACAGTTTCCTTGTGTTTGGGATGTTGTCCTTTTCTCTGATGTATGTACCATCAGAACCAATCTATATATGCAAAACCAAGACATAATTTACAACATCAAAGTAAATTCCAGAAGCAAAGCCATACTTCAAGGGAAGAGGAAAATCACATGCATAAATGGCTGACTTGGTTCTTTTAGCATCAACCTGAACATACACTGACTTTAAAAGATACATTATTTCAGTCACATTCTTTATATTTTTCTTGGTTCTAATTAAACTGCTCTAAACTGGCCTCAGTTAAGCTGCTTAGAAAGGTTAGCCAAGAATTCTCAGAACAAAATTGCTGTAGTCTTAATGGTGTTTCCTCCATTTACTACAAATGATAAAGGAGGAGATTATTTTGATTCAGGTATTATTAGCATGATTATACAGGGAAGAAAAGCCTATTTATTTATTTGATTGTTTGTTTGTTTATTTATTTGTTCTCAATTTAGGTTACTGGTATACTGCCTTTTTCTTCCCAATTAGCTCAATGATCTTTTCCTGAGAAAGCCTCACAGGCAGTGTATAATGCACTTTAAACTTTCAGTAAAATAATAACTGAAAAGAATTAGTAAATGTTAAGTGCTTAGCTTGGAAGTGTGAATATTTTTTCAGTAGTTTTTGAAAGACTCCCCCCCACCCCATCAAAGGCACTTTCATTTAAATACATATCCTTTCAAGTGAGGATGTTTTAACATCCATGAGATGAAAAAATTAAGGAAATGCCCTGTAATGTATTTTGTAGCCTGTGATTTTAAAAAATGAGTTTTTTTTCTGAATGGATTTTTTTAGCAGTTTTACCTAGTAAAAATCCAGTCTAAGGAAAAGATCAAAGATAGGATAATGAAATAGCACAGATGCAACATCAGCTCTCCGTTTGCCCTGTTTTTCCAATTCATCAGAACAGCAGCAAAACTTTTGATAACCAGGACAAAAGCTTATCTTGGCTCATCATTCTGTGACCCAGTAGCCAACCAGACAGAAGCTTATAAATTGGATATGTGAGTGATCTCTTGTACTTCAACTGCTGGCGTTTAAAGGCTTGCTGCTTGTGATTCTGTAGCCATCAAAACTTAATTCAAGAGTGAAAACCAGATAATAGGAAACACGTGAAAATCATTTAATGTATGTATGAGAGCTAATGTGGTATAGTTGATGAGACTGGAGAGACTCAATGTGAAGTTTGCCTTCAACATAGGTGCTCACAAGTTGATCGTTTTCACTCAGCCCAGCCTACCTCCTGAAACTTGTAGAGAGAGAAAATTTACCACCTTGAACTCTTGGAGGACAAACCTACCATCCAAAACACTGCTAGTTTTATTTCATACAGCTAAATACAGATTAAGAATCTACACATGATTGTAAAGTACAGATCAAAACTCCAACATAACACTTTAATATCTGTTGGGACTATGCAAGTACAAATTTGAAAGCACACAAATGATTAGGAGGTAGTTTTAGACAAAAATAAAAGCTTGGTACTTTTACCACACAATCTGTTTTAAAGGAAATCAAAATGTTACAAGGGTATATTTCATTACTCTTTATTTGAAAAGAACAGTATAATTATTGTGCCAAAAATATTCTGCATATTTTTTTTACTGTTGATCATTTAAACTGAAGGGGAAAAAAGTTACTTTCTTTGTCCCCTCCCATAGAGAAAAAGATTAACTTTCGTGAAATTCCTATCAGAAGAATGTGGTGTTCTTGCATTTATCTAGTGGCAAAGTACACAGTGTTTGTGTTATGTCCCTGGACCTTGAAGAAGTTCCCACCAAGGTCCGTTCG